GGGGGAGCTGCCGGCCCCCCGCGGGGCCCCGCATCCCCCCTCCGCCCGGCTCCGCCGCGGGGGCTGCCGCTCAGGAACCAGGAGCCCCGGGCCCCTTCCCCTGCGGAGGGCGGTGGGGAAAGAGGCACCAGCGTAACGTATGGGAAGCACATTTACATATATATCTATATCTATAATGCCATATATCTCTGCAAAGAATAACAGACCCGTAACTGTGTATCCGGATAAGCATGTATAGGTGTTTATCTCAATAGGCAAAGCCAGTCTGGAAAATGTTCTGCTGTCATGTTTTAAAAGAAATCCGGGCCATTTTCCACCAGAAAACAGTCCCTTTGGGCAGAGGGCAGAAGGAAGAAGCAGCAGCTCAGTTTGCTATCAGCTACTTTCCATAACAACCTTCTCACCAGCCAGTAATGCCAGCAGCAGAAAAGTCCAATCTTTATCCCAATTTTGCTATTAAAAGTGAAAAAGAAAGCCCTTACAAACAGAATGTTGCTGGTGGCAGAGCCTGGAGGCAGCTCTCCTAACCCCCCCAAGCCGTCGTGGTGCCAGGCACCCTCAGCTGCTTAGCAGCAAGGCTTGGGGTGCCCTAGTGCCATCCCCCCAGCCGGGACCTGTTTCAGCCTCTTCCCCCTCTCATGGTATGTCCTATATTCAACCTCTCGCCCCCGCTGACACGTGTCATTCCGGGAGTGGAATAGGGATGTTAAAAGCCATGTTGAAATGTGCTCATATCCCCTCACACGTGTCTTGTCTGGGTGGCTGTCCTGCAGTGATGGAAGTGCAGATGGACAACCAAGACCTTGCAGAGTCCCTGTCTGAGCTGATCCTGCTCAGACATAGTGGGGCTGATTCAGTGGCAGCTGTCAAAAGTGGGCTGTGTTGTAATTGCTGGGAGGGAAAATGACAATGAAAAATAACAATAGCCCAGTTGTTCTCTGCATTTAGAGGTGTCCAGCAAAGGGGCAAAATATGTGTCTCCTTTTTTCATTTCAGTGTGGTGGATGAAGAGATCTGAGAGTAGCCTGTGTTCTAGCTTTACATGAGGAACTCCATTCTTGCCTACTTTCTGAAACACCCAGGTCAGAAGATGTTCCTAGATTGTGAAAGCAGACATGAGGCAGGGAGGGACTTTCAACCATCCCTTTTGAGACTCTCCAGTAAATGTTTGCTGAATAACACTGAGGGTTACTGAACACTGGGAATAAATGGTGTTTTCATTAAAGATTCTACCTGTTTTCTGTGTGAGTGTTGGAAGAACTATAAACTGTGCTAAAAACTACCCTAAGGAAATCTGAGTCCTACTATTTCAAAGAAAAATAGAAAGGAAAGAAATATTAAAAAAACCAAACCAAACCAAACCAAAACAAAAAAAGAAGAAAGAAGTAAGATGGTACTTGTTGATTTAAAAAAATAATCTGAGCTTGTGCCACATGGGGAAATTGATCTGAATGCCACGAACCGGGGAGAGAACTCGCAATGGGTGACACTGAGGATTTTGGAGATTCAAAGTTTGCTGTTTTGCAGATACTCAGACCTACGAGAGCCCTTCTCTTTCCCACCAGTTAGTTTCTTCTGACATGGAGCATGGCCAAGAGGGAGCAAATGGGGCAGCTAGACTTTGTCATCCTCTAAAATTAATACCATGTCTGGCTGCTCCCACACAATAGAAACAAGTTCCCTGAATATTCCCAAAAAATGTTACCCTATGAGATAACCATCATGTTTTTTTCCTGCACAAAAGGAGAGATGAATCTTGACCATCACCAGGGCTGTGCTCACCTGACAGGTTTCAAGTCTTATGCACAAAGGACTGCCCTGAGAAAGGCCCTTCACTGCATGGCCAACTTCTTTAGCTGGCATTTTGATCCCTTTTGAAACAGGTCGGTACTCATGAATGTGGTCATGTGGGCCAGGCATTGACATCTTGGAGAACTGCTTGCCAGGGTGATGGCCAGCATCCTGCCATCCCCTGGTTCCTGCCTACCTGAGTCTCTGCTGCAGACTCTTGTCTGATTGCTAAGACTTGACACAAGAGGGAGGATCTCTAGGAAGCCCAGGTGGGAAACCAGAAGTGTCTAGGCTTTTCCTGGTCTACCTTGTATCTCTCCAGACAGGCTTTGCCCAGCTGAGCCTTCAGCAGTAAGTATCTGGTGCAGTTCACAAACTGCTTAGCAAAGATTTAGCTTCAGCCATCATCCCGAAGCAACTGGCTCGATTCTTCTGCATCTGGTGACTGCTGATGCAATGCTGCACCATGGTGCAAGGCAGCAATGAGCAGAGCCATGCCATGGGCAACACAGGTCATGAACTTCAGCAGAGGGTTTCTTTAGAAATGCATAGTCTAATGGAAGAGTGTGACAAACCAGTAGTGGGGAATATCACAAGACACTATCTGTGAGCAGAGCCCATACAAGAAAGAAAGATCGCATTTCTCTCCTGGGGTGCACTAACCAGCCTGGTTTTGCTACCACAGTGCTAGGATGCAAAAAAAAAAGTGTCAAGGCTAAGCTAAGGATGTTTCACCAAAACATTTTCCTCCCTACTTGCTGCTCAAAAAAAAAAACCCAAACACCAAAACAAACCAGAAAAAGGACAAAGTATTGCTTTTCCATTTAGCAGTGAGTTTTGCAAGGAGATTTTTTTCTGGTGTTGACATCTTGGAAATTTTAGTAATTCTCCTTAGTTAACCCCTCCAAAAATTTTGAAAAAGTCACACAAAAAAAAGCTTGCTGCAAGGGCTTTGCAAGGTTTGTTTCATATTGTTTGTTTATCTTCTTTATCTGCATTCCCCGTCTCCCCCTTTTTCTTCTATTTCTCAACTGGAAGTTGAAAAAAAGTTGAGGAGACTCAAAAAAAGAGGAAATAAGCTGAAAACTGAGGAAAGAGCTGAACCCTACCCCTTTCCCTTTGCAAAAAATAAAGGGGAGGATTATTTTCTTAGGATTATTTTCTGCATCTCTTGCATTGTTTTCCTGATGCAGTATGAGGCAATTCCAGCTTTCGAGCTTTTTATAGGGATAGGAAAATCATGCCATGGGCTTTTTGTCAAAGAAGTGCAGGGGTGGTTTCTGTCATATCACCAAACCTCCTTTCTTTCTCCTTCTTCCTCTCACAAAGAATCTGCATGTCAAAGGACCTGAGTCCTCTCTGCAGAGCAGATGAACCAGTGTGATTCTCCACTGTGGCCAGCAGTTTCAGAGGTTAATGGCCCTCCTGTTTTTGACAGATTGACTTCTGGGCACGGTTATGTGTTGCAGAGAAGTGAGGTGGGAACCCACAGCTACAGAATGAGTTGGGATAAGACCTGACTCAGGCTACAGGAGTTCAGAGTTAATACCTGCTTGAATTTTTATGACAGCTGCAGGTCTTTCAGGATTGTCAGTCACAGGAGAACAGATGCCAGGGGATCAGATGCCAGCTTGTGGGGTTGTCACCCTTTTTTAATACTGCTTTGTCCCCTCTGCTTTCTTTTGGATTCTGGTAATACTCTGTTACATTTTTACACACTCTTCCTCGGCCAGGATAGTCAGTAAATGGCTTTTCTTTCTGAAACAGAAAGCCAAGACTCTTGTGTAGTCACCTGGCTCCAGGAACTGTGACTTGAGGAGTCTGGTATCATGGCATTTGCCTAAAGTGAGGTTTATGTTTAAAGACCTGGCATAATTTTTCTTGTTTTCCCCCTTCCTTAAAGCATCATTTGTTGCTCCATAAATTCAGTGGATCCCACAAACTCTTGAAGGTCTCCTGCTCCATCTTCACCCTTAAAGAACAGCTAAATTCAGTATGGGTTACCTGGGCTCTTCAGTTAACAGCAGCTGCTGGGAGCTACCAGAAGAGCAACAGTGGCCAAACCCCCAGCTGCCTTCACACAACTGCTTGGAGAAGGGGCACGGCTGAAAGAAGAAGCTGGTGCTCACTTTGCCACCCCACTGGTGCTGAGTGGGAAATATGAGGTTGAAGGGAGGCAATAAAGTAGCAGAAATCACTGGTGTCTCATTGCCAGGGTCAGAAGGGAAAGCAGATGTAACTGGGGTGACAGGCCATGCCTCTAGGCCATGACCAGGATGGCGAGATTCCCTGCCATTGGTGCAGCAACCTTATCAGCACTGAGAATTAGGCTGATAACACACTGATGACTGGAGTAGGGTGGTTATCTCTTCATTCGGCCCCACCCCTTGCTGCCTGACTCTGTGCCAGGCCCCTTGCCCATCCTCCTTCCCTCCTGTTGCCCCAAACAGGCTTTGCTCCCAGTCCTTGGGCTGCCAGCAGCAAGAACCCGGCCCGTATTGTCTAAACAGGGCCATACAATGGGCAGCATTGTTGACACTGGATTTTTGCCCTCATTAAAGATGACCTCACAGCCCACCCCTCGGGCACTTCAGCCAGCCCCTCGGGACTGTGAGGCTGTCTTTTGAACTCGGGTAAATAAATTGGGAGAGGAGGGGGAGAAAGGGATGAGGAGCAGAGGAACACAGCAGTCTTTGTGTTGCCGCCCTCTCTTCAGCACTGGTGCTCTCTGGTGTCTTTCTACCCACATCAGACATGGCAGGCCAGGTGCCAAGGAGCCAACATGCTGAGTGCCCTTCCCCACCCTCCTTG